ATTTTACAGTCCCCTTTTGTGTGTGTGTGCATATGTTTTTAAATAGCCTATTAGTTCATGGGCCAATTGAGCTTTTTATTATTTTTATACAAAACGGCGAGAGCTGCACCATGCTATTAATAGAAAGCAAGACCGTGACTTTAGAGCTGGATTCAGATTCATTTTCATGAGACAAACACAGTCTCACAATGCTTCAGGGACAGGCCACATAACAGAGGAAAGAAAGTGCAGAGATTCGGGTCTCTGTTTTACATTAAATAAAAAAAACCAGGAAAAATTGAATTAGGGAGCTATAATCCCGTCCCAGGGGTTATGACGACCCTATGATCCATTTGGGCCAACTCCGCAATGCACCTAAACAAACGCCCAGGTCCCATTGCAGTCCATCAGCAGAGGCCCTCTGGAACGTCACTACAGCGGTTATTGTGATCCTGGAGGCGTCCTACATTTTGACAAACTTGGAATGTTTGTGGCTATCTGAGGGGAAATTATCACATTTCATCTGCAGCACAAAGGGCAAGGACTTGCTGAACTTACTTCGTCTATACAGTTCCAAGCACACGAAGACAATAATCCCAACAGTGGCTTTTGAAGGTAAGCGTGTAAATATTATGCAAAGACAGGAAAACCTACAAAGTATATTCATTGCTTGACTAGTGCTTTTATTCAAAACAAGGAAGAAACTGACCAAATGTGGAATTATTTCCCTTGGTGTTTTCTTTATAACTTGTAATTCACTGTTCTCCCACTGGTATTTGGAGAAGGAAGCATAAAAGTACCAAGATGACGCAGTCTCCATTCCTCCTAGACTGCTGACATGGAAAAATGTCTATTTTTATAGGAAGTAAAAAAAAAGAAAAACAGTTTCACTTCCCTGGCTATCAGAAAACCAAACCCAACACTTTTAGTTTAGAAATTGGTACAGCCAATGTGAGCTCTTTAAAAGACACGAATCATGGAGCAGAACTCCATTTTGATATGCTGCCTAGAAATATCTTACATAAACAGCCGCCCCAGGGAACTCAAATTGCCGTAACATTAACCTGCTGAGGGGAAAAAAAAGTACATCCCAAACCCTACGCTTGCATCTTTCTCTCTCTTCTTTGCCTGGGAGATGAGCAGCTGAAATACAGAAGCCTGGTTTCCTGTATTGGGCTCACCAAAGCTGAGCCCAAAGGTGATTTCCTTTGGTGTCCAACTGGGCATGATCTCGCCCTGCGGCCTTTCTGTCAGTAAAGGTCTTCACTGGCAATGTTCCTCCTCTGTTACCTAGTCACCAGCTGCAGGAACTTGCAGATACTTTGTATGTTTGAGGCCCCCACTCCTTTGTAACTACATCAAGTTGGAGTTACTGTAGGAGCAGATGAGATGCATAAACACAAAGTATGATTGCATAAATCATCTCCTTAGAATATAAAAAGACTTGAAAGGCGGCAGACTTCTCTACTTCTTTAGGGAGAGAGAACAAACAAAAAAAAACAGTAAGAGATCAGTTTACTGTGCTTTTTTAATGGAAATAAGGGTTATGAGCTCACTCATAAGCACTCACACACGTATGTGGCAATTTCCTCCATGAAACTATCAACAAATTCAAATTAAATTTAACGGAGGGGGAGCATCTTCTCTCAGAAGCACAATTTCTACAAGTTTCAAGAAAACAGGCAGCTGGGTAAAGAGAAATATCCTATAAATTGCCATGGAGGGAAATGCTGTAACACAAACTCCACCTCTGTTGTGTATCAGGCAACCCAAATGTTAGAAAGATGTTATTAATGAGAAAAAAGGGGAAGGGTTAGATTCCCGATTTCTGCTTTTTGCTAAGCCAGCCACATGCTGGGGACTTACAGCTAGCTTAGCTCAGGAGTTTGGGGTTTTCCTGGTGGAATTTGGGGGTAATTATCTGCCCAAACATTAAAATTAAGAGAATTAGAGAAGCTGCCCATAACCTGCCTGATCCCAGCAGCACCAAATGTTGCTCTACAGTATTACGGAGAAAGATTTTATATATGGAAGGACGTGGATATTTACATCACCTTCTTTAAGGCATGGTGCTCTAAGTTTGGAGGCAATAAACCCTAGGCTCCTGAGAGTGGACAGAGAAGCTTTTCTAGAGGCAGTGCAGAATAAGAGTTTCGGCTCCCTTTTCTTATTCTTGCTCTCATAAGGCAAACGAAGGACACGAAGCTCCTAGCATTGTCCAGTTCAATCTTTACTATTAGAAAGACAGTTTCTTGCACTGTTAACTAGAGAGACATGAAAATATTTTGAAAGACTATCATGTTTTCCTTACCGACCAGATCACTACAATAACCTTGGGGAAAGCAGTTTTAGTCTCTGAAACCATATCTGAACAGTCATAGTTGTCTTCAGTAAGTTAAATAGCATACCATACCGCCCATAGCTTTGTCGCTGAAATGAGGATACAACCATAGGTAGAGACTTGGCAGAAATCGAGGGAAAATGCTGCCTATAGCCTAAGCGACAAACATGCCTACCTGCTCTCCCTCGATCTTCGTCAATCCGTCCAACTATACTCGGTTAAATTAATCCCTCATGACATAGCTTGTCAGTTTATCTTATCAAAACCTAACCAATGCAGCTACATTAGAAAAAAAAGTAACTACTTGCCACTTTAAGTAACCATAAAAAGACATCGCTATCTCATTGTGCAAAACCAAGTGTGAAACGGAATTAACTGTCGCAGGGTCAATTTGGTGAATGCTATTTCATATTATATACTTTGAAAATAAACTTCTAAACCCAGCAGAATCAGCTTCCACGGCAATAAAGTATTTTGACAATAATGTATATTATTACTTTATCTTACAGTTCAGTAGCACTAAATCAAAGGAGGAAAGGCAATAGATTATGTTTTCAGTTTGTTGTTCCTGGCTAGCGGAAACATACACTTCTTTTACTAAGGTTTTGAATGTTTATCAGTTGTAATGTAAGCCTTACGTCCCAAGACGAAAACACGATAGTCTCATGAAAAACTCTGCTCATTCAGTCAACTTTTCTGATAGTAGCATGCAGGTAACTAACACCCCAAACTACAGATCTGCAAATCATTAGGTTTCCACTTAGCAAATGGCTAAAAAAGAATCTGTCCTTCTAAGTAAGAGTTAGTATCAGCAGTCTTACAGTTTCAAATACTGTAAGGTAAAGCAAAGAGTTTCAGTATTAGTAATAACTGCTATTAGAGCACAGTCAGTTTGGACGACAGACACCCATCCATACAAACCACGCACATATAACTCGGCATGGTCTCTATTGCAAGGAAAATAAAAAATAAGTCAGTGAGACAAACTATGCAACATTTTTCCTGTACTAGATTAGCACCTACTACTCTACAATACTTACATTTATTAACCTTCAACTTGCTTCCATCTACTGGAATTGGATCTATATAATCCCAATAATATTCATACGACCAAAAATACTCAGAGGAGTTTGTCCTGTTAGCCATTTCAGTGGTGCATTTTAAACCAGCTCAGAACTCCAACCAAATACTTTTTTTCATTGTACTTCAGCGCCCTCAGAAAGAGATTGCATAACTGATGCCTATGTAAACCACTCTGGGGTCCCGCAGCTCAAGGACTGCCTTGGTACTAAAAAACATCTAGCAGCAATGAAAATTAATGTCTGACAGATATGTAACAGCAGCCCTTAAAAAGTAATCCTCGCTTCCTGACGGGCAATTATGTTATTCCTCAGCATATTTTAAACTGAGTTGGATGTCAAGTAACCTAAGAATGGGGTGGACAAGTGCCAGCTGGGTCACAAACCCTTCCCTCACAGAAACTCGCAGCAACGCAGTGCTCTCTGGAGCTACTGGAAACAGCTGGGCTGAAAGACATTTCTGAATTTCTCATGATGCAAAGAAGTAGGTAACACCTGATAAAATGCTTCATAAAGAAAGGATGTATTGGAATAACCATATATTTTGCTTTCCTACTTCTTCATTCCCTCCACCCCAAAGGCAATGGATGGAAAGGCAGGCTCCCAACCAAGATGAAGGCAGACCCGTGGAAGGCGTTTGGCCCTCAGCAGTCCTGTGCCTAGGCAAACACACACATATGTGCTTCACTGAGGTTCACTGAACTGAAATTGCTCACGCTAAATGTGAAACAGACCCTCAGCCCGCTTTTGACTGCGCCCCTAAAGCCCCCAGGGTACGTTGCAGCTGGGGAGACCAGGGCTGCTCACTCAGGCGCCGGCACTGGACTCACGGAGGAAAGGCAGGCCTCCCGGGACACAAAACCGGGAGCAAGGTACGCAAACACAGCACAAAAAGCGCCAGGTCGGTTAGAGGCAGCTTTCAAAACACGTATCGCCATCTTTTCCGCGCCTCCCCACCGCTATAGCATACAACACCCCCGCCGCGTTTCTGTACGCGTTGCTGAGGCCCACAGGAGCAGGCCTCCAACGGGGACAGAGACGAGGAAACACCCACCG